AACAATTATAGCATCTGAAATTTCTGTACAATTAAAAGAATTTTACTTTAAGAGATAGAGATTTCTCAATTTACACTGCTTAAAGGAACTGAGTATAAATGTTTTAAGTAAATTATTATAAATCATTTACGTACATACTAGCAATAGAAACTATAAATCAACATTTGTACCATAGAATTAGTTTGTTTGAGTTGACTATGAAATGGTTCCCATGAACGAAACTTGTAAACCCTGACATGACAATTCACTGAATTTCATGACAAAATGTCTGAAGAAAGTTATCTCTCTTATCAGGAGAGTTATCTCTCTTATCAGAGGGATATTCCACCTTAAAGCTGAACACGACTCGTAAATAGGCATACGCCATTTTCGATAGCATTATCTACGATACATCAATACTAGGGTATACTCATCGCATTCGTTACACCTGACTGCTTTATTGTCACGGGTATCGGCGTGGAATGGCGACCCGTGTTCGTGCTGATTATCTTGCATTAACTTTGTTTATATTTTATAGCAGTTACGTTTATCTGTGTTGTTTGTATACTGCACTGACTTATACAACTATAATTGTAAATTTATTTGGTATCTTACTTTCCTGCATTAGACGAAGTATTACGTTATTATTCTCGCTACAGAGGCCTGTATAGCATACGTCCGTCTTCTCCGGTGTCGACTGATTACACTGAATAGTGACTAAGTTCTGCCCTATTTATAGGGGTCTGCAGAGTAGCGAGACCGGGAACAAAAATGGCGGACAGATTCCTTTTACGAATCGTGTTCAGCTTTAATACGAGATTGTAACATAGATCTGATACATTTAATCCATTCTGACAAAGTCTCAATGTTTTCTTTTTCACACCTTGCCCATCGCCTTATTATTCCACGTTTCCAACTATCGTTGACGTCCTTTGTTTACCCAACAAACTAGAAAGTGATGATTAATACGCCTCCTTAGCTCTTGGCCTTTGCTTGGTGTAATTAACATTCCGGTAGAATTATAAAAAAATAACTCATATAACTTTCAAATGGTTATCATACAGAGAACAAAAAATAGATATGGAAATATTAAGTATTTAACTGGGTTTATTATTAACAAGATATCTTTACCTGGTTCTGTACAACAGAGGTCACTGAGTAAATGACCATTGGCCACATCGCTCGAAGTCACCTTACTTAAAAATCGTGCTCTACTCCAGGAGCAGATTTCAAAAATGATTTCTTTCCCCTCTGTTCGCATATCTAAAAAAATTCGACCCCATACTCTGGCCTTCATCTTACATTTGGGGGTCACATAAAAAAAATTAAATCACAAAATATAGAAATGCTCTAATATATATATATGGCTCGCCTGGTCTGGCTGCCCCCAACCCCATCCCATCTCCGACAAGTTAAATAAAAAAAATAAAACTTAAAAAGGACAATATTTCTCATTTTTTTGAACACTGTATAACCAAAATCATTAACATCTATAGATTTGGGGGGGTATTAGTTGAGATTATTCCCCCGATATCTATTTGCAAACATATTATCACTTTTGTAGACCACAATACGCATTTATATTACTGAAGATTCCTAAATATACGCATGAAATTAATTATCGGGTTATTTCGCGAGAAGCGCCACACGCGAAATAAAATTACTCGCCTTTATTTTCATGGTGCTGAAATCTATGTAAAATCTCTTGATCAACCGTCCATTCCCTAATTATCATACTCGCGATTTGCCATTAAAGTGCCCATTCGCGATAAAAAGTGCACGCGAAAAATAAGGAACCTATTGTCATTTCAAAAATTTTGAAGATGTGGAGATGGGTATTTATACTTCACTCAGAGTCATAATATAACTCGAGTTTGATGTGAAAAGTAAAGTTTTAATAAGTTTAATAATTTTGAATGAAATATTTATTCTATTGTTATGACCATTGAAATAATCCATAGAAAAGCCAGAGATTATAACTTCTGCTCTTAATGTTAATGTAGTATTTTTTAAAAGATTTTTTTAATCGCCAATGTCATTAGTGTCATATGGAAGACACTACCACAATTCTCCACTACAAAGAGGACATTATCAATAGTGTACGTATAGATATATATTTAATATTAAACTACGCCAGACCGCGGGAGATTAAGTCAACACGAACTTCTGATCCATTCAGGTTTATGAATTCACGGGGATACGAGAGAATTTGTCATACCGGGCCCTTTGGGTCTGATTTATTACTAGAGGGGTCGTCAATAGGCCAAAAATTTCCCTCTGTGTACAACAGTAAATCAATTCATTTTGATAAGATTGTGTCAATATCTCCTTATTTGCTGACAAGATGTGAAATGGATTTTTAAATATGGATATTTCTAAAGCTAGGGACCCTAGGTGTTAATCAAGGCGTGCCTTTGCAACTATTTATAATGAAGACTGTTTATTCTTGGACACAAATGTATTACACATTTACCGTGTCTTTATTTTGTTGTCCTGGTAAAAGGAAAAATAAAACGTCATTGTTAGTACATTACAAATATCAGAACAACTCCGCTACCTTAACCTCGCTTATCCTTCAGGATTGAATAAAGATGCTCCATATCCAACTTTATTTTGACAAGTTAAGCACCCCCTCCCCCTCTTTCTCTCTAAAACTCAGTCTTTTGTAGTCGGTTTATAGTACGTCTTTAAGGCGGCAATACTTTAAAATTCACACATCGCTTTGGTCTCTTAGGTTTTACCTTTGTGAAGTACGCCGTTTGATCACCTTATTTAATTTTCAAATGGAGATTTATGGGTTTTAAAGTATTCTGACACGAAATTGTCCGATTTAATATTTTTTAATCTACACAAATATACGTCTGATGAAGCAGTGTATTTCAAGTGCTGGCCACGTACGATAAACGTGAATTTGACCACAGACAAAAGACAACACAGACATACAAACTATATTTCATCGAGGGTCATTTTCTGTTTTAAATGGCTACCGAATTAACGTGTTCAACGAACGGGTGAATGCAGGTAATTGCAGTTTATTGCATAATTTAGGCTAAACAAGGGAAGTCTGAATTTATAAATGTGCATATCAAATGGCTTCATTTCTACTCTATATACATGCCGCAAATTTATCCACGACCTTTCACAGGGTACATATTAGGTTATATCTGATGTTTTAAGTGAGAAATGGAAAAGGGATTTGTCGTGTTCGCTAATACATTAAAATTGAAAACTTTTCTGTAACTTCAAACCAAATTCAATATCGGGAATTAACGACGGATATCCCGTCTCTGTGTAAAATGATTCTGACATTTTAGCCGACCATTTTGAGTTTTATTTTATTGCATTTGCATATTTTTGTAATAAAAGTTCTCAGGCGATGACATGGAATTGGTCCAAATCTGTAACACCATCTACAAGTGCGCGTTAGCTGGTAACAGACGAATGGAATCAATTAATGGCGGGCGTTCAGATCGATACGTTATGAACTGTATGGTATTCAGGGCCCCACATGTATATTTACTTTTTAACTTAGAGGCCCACCAACACAAACTAAATCAAACAGATGCAATAGTTTTTTTTCAATAAAATTTTGAACTTTTTTGGTTAATTATTAACCTCATTTGACATCAGATATGGGAATGTCAGAAATAAATTTTGGACGATATTTTTGTTTATTTGTCATATTTTCGGAACAATCTTTTCTCAAAAATGATTTCAATTTCACTCTTTACATCTACAATGTCTTTATCTAGTTTCTTATTTTGAATCAAATAATTGCATTAAAAGAAAAAAAGATTTATGATTCAAAGTCAAATGAAAAGAAGGACATAATCGAAAATTTAAAAATATATATATTTCTATTTATTTTGTACGTATCCTGTTTAAAATCTAGGTCATCATCCCTATCTTTCAGCGTACCAAATTTTTAAAAACGAAAATTCTACCCCCTGTGGTGGGTTTAAATACAAATAATTTTCTTTTTAAATTATAACTCCTTTAAAAATCAATTTAATATTCTTTGCATACATACACAGGCATACCATTCAGTAAATGTTTTTTAAAAAGCAATTAGTTTGAAAGATATTTGCATTCGATGACAATTAATTTAATCCATCCAAACTCATAGTTTAACCAAATATAAGTTTGAATGTAAAAAGACGCCGGTAACGAACACATAAGGATTAAGTCTTAGTTGTAAATATTGATTTGTACTCTAAAAGAAGTGGTCTTTTATAAAAATATTGATATGTACTGTACATTTTCTTTCTGGTCTTAGGGGTGCTAACCAACTTTTAAGGTCGAGGTATGGAGCTTTCTTCTCTATACCATTCTGTATCATTGTGAAAAAGGTTAATTTTATTTCATAACAAAGCGTCAAAAAAGGAATGGCTCAATGGCGCCTACCAACCAAAAATTTATGAATTCCGGAACATTTGAAATATAATGAACCTGCGTTGAATATTTTTAAGTTTGCACTTTACGAATGAAATAAAAGAAAAAAAGATACATGAAGTAATTTCTTCTTCTTTCTTACTTTTATTTTATGTAAGACACTTTTAAAATGTCGTTGAAACATGTAGTTGAAAGACAAATGATTTTACCATTACTTTATTATATCAACAATAAAGTGGAAATGACTTTAACTCAGGAAGCATACCTTTCCATATATTATGAGAGCTTTGACAAGTGTGCTAACTTTATAAAGATATTTTATTTGCTTCAATATGCAAGGCCTTTCATTATTTCTTTAAATGGGCATTATATTGGTCTTTTGCCTTAAACACCAATTTATTGGCTTTATCCATCCACAGACACCGGGAAAATTTATAATCACCGCCATAAAAGTCACCCGAGAACTGATAAAAACTAAAGTTATAGCCATTATGCAGCGAAGAACAATATCACAGAAATATTTCATATCGCTATATTATCACTAATTCCTGAATTGTAGAATCGAAGTCGACTTTTCTTGTCATGTAGGGGCTTTAACAACACTTTGATATGTTCCCCGACTTTTCCTGTCATGTAGGGGCTTTGACAACACTTTGATACGTTCCCTGGGATGCTGGACATGAACTGTCCCACATTGGGGCGATACACGGGGACTCCTCCTGAGGGTTGGGAATATTACCGTTAGCCATTAACCAGCTATACAGTCGTCTGTTTGTCTTAGACATAGTTCTCACATCCAGACGGTCACTTGACTGAATAATGGCGTCTAGAAAGTCCGTAGAATTCTGGGTAAATTCTTCCTCCACAATGCACACTTTCTCGATCCTTTTGATCGGATTCGCATCCTTATCACAATTGTTGTCCAAGAAATCCACAAGTCGCACAGCAGTGTTCGATTTGGCATTCGGTATTCTTTCGACGTCACCTGAGTTCTTTTCACACTTTGGCGGAATCGTCACAGGTGATGACGTCACAGATGACGCTATATTTTGTGGCACGCTGTCATCGGTCGCCGAATCTTTCTGTTCGTTTTTGCACTTTGATTTTGAACCTTTATTTGAATGTTTTTTTCCTCCCTTCACACGAGCACCTTTCCCCTTCGTTTTTGGAGGCTCTTCGTTTCCGTTGGAATCCGACACTGTTGCTTCTTTCCGTTTTTCTTTTTTCACTGAACGTCTTTTAGTCGCTCTCTTACTTTCTGCTTTCTTTGGTAAGGTAGCACCTGTGATCGCAGCGACTTTAGCAGCCGTTCTGCCGGATGACTTCTTGACCTCATAGTTACCCTTTGCAATACAGTTATTTGGGGCACGAACCCTTTGCGAGCTCTCCCCTTCTGTGTCACTCTCGGAATCTGACTCTAAGGTCCATCTGCTGAACAAACCTCTCGCCGGAATCTCACGGATCAACACGAGATTCTCGTCGCTCTGAAATGTCACTTTTTTCTTTTTCTTGGAGTCACTGTTAGCCGTGGAGGCACTTCGGACACTAGCGGATTCATCATCCACATACCCACTGGACGGGCTCTCATCCCGGGAGTCAAAGTCCGAAAATTCCGAATCACTCGAGAGACTCGAGCCGATGGAATCCTCTTCTGAATCCGACATTATTCGAAATTTTTACTGAAGAAATTATTTCGACATTTTCTTTCGAACTTTTTTCTTTTGCCACGGTCAGTGCAGAACCGGTCGCTAGCAAAAATGAAATTCGGTTAACTGGTTGTTCTACAATAATATATAAACAAACGTATTATACGCACGCAATAAACCCAGGGGTCAGCCAGATTCTCTATTCACCAAGTCTTAATCCATATTGTAAAATAATGTAGTGGTTTTCCACTGAACGTAAGTAGATTAATCCGGATTAATTTCACCTTCTTTAAGTATCTAAAACTGTGTCAATTTTTCCCGTTTAAAGTCGAGTAAGAGTTTCACAGGTCTAACGTCTAGTAGACGGGATCTTACAAGTTTTTACCTTTCCACTGTCTAGTTTTAAATCTTTCAAGTTGTCGACTTTAAATGCAGGACCTGGGCACAGGTGCGTGATTCCGATTGAATACCTGCTGAATTTAAAAGCAACTAACGACAGAAAGGCGGAGATCGATGCTTTTATTTACCACACAGATATCGCGCATGGATTTCCCTGCCTCTGTCAGGGACGATCTTCTGGTCCGGGAGGTGTGGGACAAAATCCGAACCCCCACACTTCAAAATAAAACATCGTATAATATAGTTTTATTTCTTAATTATCTAGTTAACATGTTCGATTTTTTTTTATCTTGTCTGTGCAAATCGATTTTCCTGCAGTAAACTATTGCCAGAAGTAGTATATATGTACTTAAATAGGAAACAGGTTATCACTTTCTAATTGTTAAATTGTGGACCATGGGTACAAAAATGTAATGATTAAACAGAATGTGACTAAATGGAAAATCTATACTTCTTTACCTCGAAATAAATATTGATATGCATCAAATATTGTTCAAATACAGCCTACGTATTTGTAATCAAAGGTCAAAAATACGTTAAATGTCCGATAATTAGCTATTTTAAGGCTGTAGTACCTAACGATTTGGTATTAGACGATGGATGATCAGCGATGATATCGGGAGACCCAAAATAACCCTGTAAACATTCTTATCGCTTTGTAAGCATTGTCTGGGGGAATCAATTAAAACCTGATAATTAATCTGAATATACGGAAGTCAATCGTACGGAATTGTGCATTATCATCCTCAATGTACCCTGCCTATACTCAGAAAAAAGGAATTCAAGTCTTGACTAAATGTTTAATTAATTATTGTCACGTTTATTGTTTCGTGTACGTGTACGACTAAAATAAAGTAAAGCAAAACTGAATTCCTCAGTATTGCGTCTAATATACTAATATCTTAGCCCTAAGTTGTCCAGTATGTATAAGAAGTTCGTCAGGTTGCTAGTCACACGTGTTTTCTTCACAGTGGGGCAAATTAAAATAAATGTATTTACTATAGGCTTTATATATACACGGATAACAGCTGGATCCTCTTATGCCAGAAGCAAACGACTCTCATTGGCTTCAGTTCATTTTAAAAATTGATATTTTGTATCTATTCATCAAAGAGAGCTTATTTGTTTATTCAGACACTGTTTTCGCCAAATAACCGCCTCAATATTTATCCCTTTTACCGTCACCAAACGTGATTCCTCAAATACAGTTCCCCGGACGTGACTTTAATACAGCGGGCAAGATTACAGTCCCTTATTCAACACTTGTACAAATATTTTGGATGATATAACTTGATTATTTCACTGTGTTCTATGTATCAGAACTATTTGTATAAACCAGGCTGTCTTTTTGAATTGTTTAATCTACAAAGCGAATTTCATGATGTCATTAAATTCGTATCTTATTTTCACGTTTCCCCAACCTTTGAAAGACATTTAAACAAATCTGAAAATGTCCTATCAGTCTTTCTTGTCGTAAACAAGTAAAGAAAAATCGGAGTGTTTTGTAAGACCTTAGACATACAAACAAAGTAGGCCTAATTAAAACGTACAATATATACATACTACGACAATCTCTTAACTACATGTAGCTTGTTCAAAAATAGCTGCAGATCCTGTAGCGTTATGGTTTTATCTATTTGTCTTTGACCATTATGTCAAAGACAAATTTATATATAAAACCATAACGCTACAGATCTGCAGGTACATGTGGTTCATTAGTTAACAATAGATTGCCGTAGTATGCATTATTATTTCCTTATTTCTTTTATCAATTCTCAAGTAAAATATATATTTTTTTTTGGTTCGGAACTATTGAAGATTGTTCTAGAATAGTAAATTAATATCGCCTTAAAGTACATACATGTAATATCTGAGACAAATATAAAACTGATAGACTGAGCTTTAGCTTGTCTCTAACCCTTAGTTTGATCCAGGTTCCTTTATTTTTTTGTTAGATGAGATACAGGATTACGTAAATTGAATTTAGAAATCGGTAGATTTGATATGAGATTTAAATTTATCATAGATCACGAAAGAAAACAGAATAGAAGAGTACTTTAACCTCTCTCATCACACGGGAATAAATCGATCTTGTAAAAGTTGTCATATCTGAGATTATCGGGCAGCGTGTTGGTCTTCTTCAGATAAAAATGGAAGACAAGTTTGTCGTGTCGTCATCGACTTTTCTGAATTATAAGAGAAATTGTAATTTGATATTCAACTGAATAAGAACTTCGTGAAAGCACTATCATCGATTTTCCCAAATAACACACCCTTATTTTTTAGCCCTGATTCCTTGCCGTTTATGTGTTCCATATGACCCCTGGAAATTGTCTCGAGATTTCTTTTTTGTCGGTAACCAAAATACAGTGCTCAAATTAGATAAAAGGTATGAACCTATCCGTTTGCAGTCCTTTCTATGTGTAAAATCATGTAAAAAATCATGTAAAAATCAATTTCAGAAACAAAATCTTGTAAGAAGATACTTATGACCAAATTGAACGAAAGAAAAGAATTTTAGTTCAAATTAGTTGAATTGACTTTGCCAATACTATTTAATAACTGATTTCATGAAAATAAGTGAAAATAAGTGCAATCGCACTTATATAAATTTTTAAAACTACGACGTAAAAATAATTCTGTTTCATGATCTCATCGTGTTTAATGCTTTTAAAGTTTTCTTTTTAATGCACTTCCCCAAGTTTTCTTTGTACCACTTAACTTACATTAACAGTTCTAACGTGATAAGAAATCGCATGTCATCCTTTACTTAGACGCCAGCCTAAAGACAATAAAAAGACCATGTAGGTAATACTATACACGACCGTCCTATAAATAGAAATTACTTACTAAAAATATGTCTTAGTAAAATGCTGAAAGGATTTCCAATAGAGCAAACGAAGAAGATGATAAAAGACACCACTATCAATCCAATGACGTCACGGATTCAGGTGGCTAAATAAAGTGCATACGTGCTGGAGGCACGATGTACATCAGATGAATTCGATGACGTTATCGACTTCCTGTAGTCTATGACAGATAAGATACCAGACAGGTGCTATACATAATAAAACTTCAAATGTAAGTGTCTCAATCACATGTAAGTCAGTTTATCCCGAAGCACCTATTCACAGTCGTTTTTAACCCTTAAAAGTCTTTTTTAATCGTATTTTTTTTCTCAAACTTCATACTGATTGATTGGTTGTTGTTGATTTACGCCAAGTCGTTAATATTTCAGCCCCAATTCATCGGAAATATTATAAGATCACTAACTATAGATGCAGAGATTATCATACTGGTTCTCATTGCCATGAATGTTTCAATAGCAGGGAAGTTACAGATTTTACTGTACTGTCTATAAAAATAAAATTTTATTGTATTCATTTTCCATCAAAAAAGTTTTATTGATTTCTTCACAATTAAAGCACTGTCTTTGTGGCAATGTAGGAGTATCGAACTATTTTCAGAAAAAAAAAAAGAGCAACGCAAGATCACGTTGAATTTTTTTTTTATTGGAAACCTGAAACTAGGAGACGGCGAACATTATTCAAGCTAACAATACAATTCCGGAGCAAAGCAAAGACGGACCTCTGAAACATCAGAGATTGGATCAGATGCCATGGAAGAGTAACCATCCTCTGACTGGTTACACCTGAGTCCCTTGTCGTGATTAAGTAAACGGAAAAATCAACAATTTAGTGTGAAAGTAATGGTATAATAACAACTGTAAAAAAAACGTTATTCAGTACCTGGATGTATTTTTTCTAACTGATTGATTGTGCCTGCTGACATGATTATTTTATTGATGATAGAACTGGAGAAATTATTTAAGGAATCACTGTCTAGTTAGGAGGGTATGTCAGGGCATCAACAATAGTGGGAAACATGGGATAATTTGCATAACGGGCGAAGCCCGTTATGCTTAAATTATCCCATGTTTCCCACTATTGTTGATGTCCCTGACATACCCTCTTAACTAGACAGTGATTCCTTATATTTCCATTTCATTGTGAAATAAAATTGTAGATTTAGACTTTAAAAATGTAGATAAATAGATTTAAATCACATGATGACTTCCATGCCAATTTCAATAGTCCTCGCCAACCGACGTCAAACACAAAGGCAGCCGCACGAGATTTACATGCATATTTGGCCTCCTTAGCGTCAGACACAGAGACAGATGCGCACGAGAATTGCATGCGTATTAGGCCTCCTTAGCTCCCGACCTATCGACCTGCCTAATTTACATTCCGGCAGAATTATCAAGAAATAAACTAACCCTAACTTTCAAAGAGTCATCACAGAGAAAAAAATTAGAAATGGAAATATTATTACTTTAATTGAGACTGTTGCTATCCTTGTTTCATCAAGTTGTTCTTCATTCTATAGGAAGACTTCAAATTGTTCGTAAGTAAAGCATACTTTTGCGTATAGAATCAACTGGACATAATCTCAAACGCAGATCATTAGGGAATATTGCTTCTTAAGTATGTAAAGTTGACGAAACACTGAAGTCAACAGGCTTATCATGAAGTTTTGTTGTTAGATTACTAATAGCGTCTTTTTCTTTTTATAAACACATATAAATGTCTCTTCAGATTTATTTTTACAAATATTCG